TGCGGCGTGTTGTCTGTGGGGGGGGGGGGGGGGGGGGGGGGGGTTGTAAGCCGGGGTGCATTTATCTGGTGAGTCCCTATTATTATCCCTATTGGGAGACATCTGATGTCTGCAGTGCCTCCCTCCCTTCCCCATAGGCATGCATATGCAAGTTTACCAGATGGGAGCACATGTTTGTAGAGAGGTCTATGGTGGCGGGGTCCTGCGGCCATGGCCAGATGAGGTCTAATGTCTCCATGAGCTACAATGGGGGAAGTAGATTGATGACCTCATCATTCTGCTTCTGCAGTCTCATCATGGGCTGGGGTGGGTTTGAGACAAGGCTGTATTGCTGTACTACTGTATGGTCTCCAGGGGAGGACACAGGGGGTGCAGGGCATGGCTGTGCTTTGGATTATGGCAATGGCTGTACAGTATTACAAATTCTTTGGCGGTCAAACCAGTTCATATATATATATATATTTCAGCTGTTTGCAAGGCGCTCGGCTTTAAAGGACAAGTGCACTTATGGCCCAAAGGCCCCTTCTGTTCCTAAGCAGTCCTGTGCATTAGAGCTCTGACCACCACTATGGGGCCTCCCTATGGCAGAGTCGGGGGTGAGTTGCAGAGAAAGCGTAATGGGGACCTGTCATCTCAAGAGTATTGTGTATTAGAGATCTGACCACCACTATGGGGCCTCCTTATGGGAGAGTCAGGGGTTTGCTGGAGATAGAGCCTAATGGGCACCTGTCACTTCAAGAGTCTGGTGTATTAGAGCTCTGACCTCGACTATGGGGTCTCCTTATGGGAGAGTCAGGGGGTGGGATGCAGAGAGAAAGCTGGAGATAGAACATAATGGGGACCTGTCACTTTAAGAGTCTTACAGCAGAATACAAATGCCCCCCTCCCACAAGATAATCTCCGAGGAATCCTCCTGGCATGGAAACAGACTGGGGAAGAAGACAGAGTAGGATGGGGGTAAACTTGGAAACAGCTTTTATAACTGAAGAGAAGGACACGGTCTTCCTTTCCCTGCCCTTCCCAGGAACATGTCTAATGCAAAGTGACAGCTTCACTTAGATGTCTCCGCTCCACTATTTCCACAGTCGGTAAAATCCCAGAGCGATGGCGAGGCAAGTAAATACTGAGGCTGGAAAAGAAAAATAAGTATTTCACTATACACCATATACAGTATATATACCTATACACGCTATACACTATATACACCTATACACGCTATACACTATATACACCCTATATACACGCTATACACCCTATACACCTATACACCATATACAGTATATATACCTATACACTATATACACTATATACACCATATACAGTATATATACCTATACACGCTATACACTATATACACCTATACACGCTATACACTATATACACCCTATATACACGCTATACACCCTATACACCTATACACCATATACAGTATATATACCTATACACTATATACACTATATACACCATATACAGTATATATACCTATACACGCTATACACTATATACACCTATACACTATATACACGCTATACACTATATACACCTATACAGTATATATACCTATACACGCTATACACTATATACACCTATACAGTATATATACCTATACACGCTATACACTATATACACCATATACACACTATACACTATATACACCTATACAGTATATATATATATATACACATACACACACACACACACACACCACATACACCTATACAGTATATATATACACCACATACACCTATACAGTATATATATATATACACACACCACATACACCATATACACTATATACACCCTATACAATATATACATACATATGTATATATAGAGGTATATAGAGGTTCCCATCCCAGTAAACATGAGATATTTAGGAGAAGAGACTGGAGCATGTGAAGACAACGGCCGCTACAGAGTTTGACTAATATATGCCGAAAATGGGATTCTGAGTGACCCTGAGGACGGGGGGAGGGGGTGACCTTGGAAACCCCATAACAAGTTGGATTTCTGTTTTCTAACAACACATTTTTTGGACACAGATTTTGTCGCTTTTCTTTATACACCTCCAGCAATAAAACCTGACTGAGGTTCTGACCCTTCTCCCGGGAATGTATTTTTGTTGTCGTCTCTCCATACAGTCCCTATTATTATCCCTATTGGGAGACATCTGATGTCTGCAGTGCCTCCCTCCCTTCCCCATAGGCATGCATATGCAAGTTTACCAGATGGGAGCACATGTTTGTAGAGAGGTCTATGGTGGCGGGGTCCTGCGGCCATGGCCAGATGAGGTCTAATGTCTCCATGAGCTACAATGGGGGAAGTAGATTGATGACCTCATCATTCTGCTTCTGCAGTCTCATCATGGGCTGGGGTGGGTTTGAGACAAGGCTGTATTGCTGTACTACTGTATGGTCTCCAGGGGAGGACACAGGGGGTGCAGGGCATGGCTGTGCTTTGGATTATGGCAATGGCTGTACAGTATTACAAATTCTTTGGCGGTCAAACCAGTTCATATATATATATATATTTCAGCTGTTTGCAAGGCGCTCGGCTTTAAAGGACAAGTGCACTTATGGCCCAAAGGCCCCTTCTGTTCCTAAGCAGTCCTGTGCATTAGAGCTCTGACCACCACTATGGGGCCTCCCTATGGCAGAGTCGGGGGTGAGTTGCAGAGAAAGCGTAATGGGGACCTGTCATCTCAAGAGTATTGTGTATTAGAGATCTGACCACCACTATGGGGCCTCCTTATGGGAGAGTCAGGGGTTTGCTGGAGATAGAGCCTAATGGGCACCTGTCACTTCAAGAGTCTGGTGTATTAGAGCTCTGACCTCGACTATGGGGTCTCCTTATGGGAGAGTCAGGGGGTGGGATGCAGAGAGAAAGCTGGAGATAGAACATAATGGGGACCTGTCACTTTAAGAGTCTTACAGCAGAATACAAATGCCCCCCTCCCACAAGATAATCTCCGAGGAATCCTCCTGGCATGGAAACAGACTGGGGAAGAAGACAGAGTAGGATGGGGGTAAACTTGGAAACAGCTTTTATAACTGAAGAGAAGGACACGGTCTTCCTTTCCCTGCCCTTCCCAGGAACATGTCTAATGCAAAGTGACAGCTTCACTTAGATGTCTCCGCTCCACTATTTCCACAGTCGGTAAAATCCCAGAGCGATGGCGAGGCAAGTAAATACTGAGGCTGGAAAAGAAAAATAAGTATTTCACTATACACCATATACAGTATATATACCTATACACGCTATACACTATATACACCTATACACGCTATACACTATATACACCCTATATACACGCTATACACCATATACAGTATATATACCTATACACTATATACACTATATACACCATATACAGTATATATACCTATACACGCTATACACTATATACACCTATACACGCTATACACTATATACACCCTATATACACGCTATACACCCTATACACCTATACACCATATACAGTATATATACCTATACACTATATACACTATATACACCATATACAGTATATATACCTATACACGCTATACACTATATACACCTATACACTATATACACGCTATACACTATATACACCTATACAGTATATATACCTATACACGCTATACACTATATACACCTATACAGTATATATACCTATACACGCTATACACTATATACACCATATACACACTATACACTATATACACCTATACAGTATATATATATATATACACATACACACACACACACACACACCACATACACCTATACAGTATATATATACACCACATACACCTATACAGTATATATATACACCACATACACCTATACAGTATATATATATATACACACACCACATACACCATATACACTATATACACCCTATACAATATATACATACATATGTATATATAGAGGTATATAGAGGTTCCCATCCCAGTAAACATGAGATATTTAGGAGAAGAGACTGGAGCATGTGAAGACAACGGCCGCTACAGAGTTTGACTAATATATGCCGAAAATGGGATTCTGAGTGACCCTGAGGACGGGGGGAGGGGGTGACCTTGGAAACCCCATAACAAGTTGGATTTCTGTTTTCTAACAACACATTTTTTGGACACAGATTTTGTCGCTTTTCTTTATACACCTCCAGCAATAAAACCTGACTGAGGTTCTGACCCTTCTCCCGGGAATGTATTTTTGTTGTCGTCTCTCCATACAACACCCGGTCTCAGAAGACACAGATGACAATTAAAATCCAAAAACTTCCTCACCGCATCCAAAATTCAACAAAAAAGCTTTGCTTGAATTTGGGCTTTAATGTCATCACTGTCAGGAAACTCTTTGGTCCTTTAGTCAACGAGATCTTTTTTTCTCCAACTTCCAATTCCGACCACCACTGCCGACAAAGAATAAAACAGAACAAAGCGGGAAGACCAAAACCTCTCACCGGCTAAATAGCGGACGGTGTCCAGCTTATGGGACTCCATGAGGGTTTTTAGGGAAGCGATGTCTATATCGATCTTCTTGTGGATCTCTGTGATGACGCTGTCGGTGGTCGCACTCTGTAGAACGTACCAGGTGGATTTGAGGAGAGAGAGAGAAGAGGAATGAGAAATTGAGATAAGAGAGTGACATGTATATCCTGTATACGAGATATTACTACACACCGATCAGCCATAACATTATGAACACCCCCCTAATATTGAGTAGGTCCCCCATTACCTGACCCTCCAGGCATGGACTCCATTAGACCTCTGAAGGTATGCTGTGGTATCTGGATGACCCCCCTAATATTGAGTAGGTCCCCCATTTCCTGACTTTTAAGACATGGACTCCACTAGACATCTGAAGGTATGATGTGGTATCTGGATGACCCCCCCCCCTAATATTGAGTAGGTTCCCCTTTACCTGGCCCATCCAGGCATGGACTCCACTAGACCTCTGAAGGTATGCTGTGGTATCTGGATGACCCCCTTATATTGAGTAGGTCCCCCATTTTCTGGCCCTCAGTACATGGACTCCACTAGACCTCTGAAGGTGTGCTGTGGTATCTGGCACCAAGCCGTCAGTAGAAGATCCTTGAAGTCCTGTAAGTTGTGAGGTGCGGCCTCCATGGATCGGACTTGTTTTTCCGGCACATCCCACAGATGTTAAATTGGATTGAGATCTGGAGAATTTGGAGGCCAATTCAACTCCTCAAACTCGTTGTTGTGTTCCTCAAACCATTCTTGAACCATGTTTGCAGTGTGGCAGGGCACATTATCCTGCTGCCATAATGGAATACCGTTTCTATGAAGGGGTGTACTTGGTCAGTAACAATGTTTAGGTCGGTGGTACGTGTCAGAGTAACATCCACATGAATGGCGGGACCCAAGGTTCCCCAGCAGAACATTGTCCAAAGCCATTCGGTGGTCATAACACGATGGCTGATCGGCAGGGCTCGAAAAATCCACTCGTCTGCTCATCAGTGACGAGCAGACAGTGGAGCCCGACGAGCAGCTTTACAGTCAAGCGATCGAGCGTCTCAAGAGACGCTCGATCGCTTGTGTCAGAAGCTGTCACTGCCGTTGCCGGTCCCGAGATCCGCTGTGCCCGATGCGGCCGGGACCGGCACGGCTCTGTGACAGGAGATCAAAGGGAGTTCAGTCCACGAACTCCCTTTGATCTCCTCTCAGTCCCCGAATGCAGGAAGTGATGTATATGACATCACTTCCTGCATTCAGTGTCACTCTCCAGCTAGAGAAGCTGATGAAGCCGATCTCTGCTTCATCAGCTTCTCTGGAGGTCCCTAGGTGACATTAGGGGTC